GACCTGCGGACCCCCAGTGCAGAGAGAGCGAGGGACGAGAGGGGGGGGGGGCGAGAGAAAACTTTCCCTTTTTTGTGCCTCCTTCCCCGGGGAGATGGCCGGTCACAGGTGCTGGCGAAACGTTAGGAAACCAGACTTCAAGACCACGGCCACACAGCCCCAACATCAAATGTTGATTTCCAAAATGGGATGTGGTGTCTCAACATGGCATTATAAAAGACTGGACTGAGGTCAAGCTGAGGATCTTAGACTTTGACACACAAAGGGTTGCCTCAAACCTCTGCCTTGGTGAGCTGAGGTATCCGCTACTTACCTCTCCCAAATACTTTTCCTACTCTCTTGTGCCCTCACAGAGAAGGGCACTTACTTACACTGGGACATGTAGATGCCCTGCCGTGAGATTCAGTAATATCCCTGCTAAGATTATTTGGGATTGTTCAGATACTGAAATTGAATCAGTTGCACAGGGACTCTTGAGTTGCCCAAAAAATCGTTGTTAGAGGTTGAAGCTAATCTCCCCTCTAACTGTAAACCACTTGAGTTGGTCCCAATAGGCAGCTAAAACATCAGTATTATGAAGTTTCCAGAAAAGTGATCAAATTTTCTGCTTATGGGAATTGCTGTTAGAAGCCATTTGATCTGAACAAAATCCAGTTAGGCTTATCTGTTAGGAACAGGACTTTTATATTGAATGCTTTGTATTTTAACTATGTTTTTTAGTCTGTGACCATACATAAATAAAGAATGTATAAAGCTGTTGGCACCTGTGATTTTATTTTGTTTTGCGTTGGCTTCCTCACAGCATACACTAGAAGATGAGTGGCTTTACATGCATTACTTGCTTTTGTTCTGCAGGAAAGCAGAAAGTTGTCTAATGCCTGATTTCTGATAACCAAGAAGAATAGGAATTTGGAAATCAAGATGAGAACCAACAAAGTTTACAAGCTTGTCATACACAAGAAAGGCTTCGGAAGCAGCGGTTAGTAGCCCTGTTGAAGGTGGCGGTGCCTTGGGATTCCCTGAGGGTGCAGGAGGATGAAAATAAGCCTTTTGCCCTCTGGGAGCAACATCTTTCAGTCTGTGCAATATCTGAACTGCAACAAGGCCCATTCAGGCAAATTTGAGGTTCCTAGCTTAATGATAACAATAACAGTTATTTGGTGTTTGTAAAGCAGTGCTTAAAATAGTACATTTTTATCTGGAAGGAAATTGCAGTCTGTTAGTGGGAAATTGTCCCTAATAAGGGTGTTTAAGATGTTAAAATCTTAAAAAAAGATGTTATGTTTATAATTGATCAACATTACAATGTACTGCAGGGTATGCAGTAAGGCTGAGACAGGCCTGCTCAGTTTGTTGTTAGGACAAGATTTGGATTTGAGCTGAAAACCCCTGCTCTCAGCTGTTGTGCTTTCTCAAAAACTGCTTAGGTTTTCACTGTGTTTCCTCCTCCCTGGCACCTGTCCCACCTCAGGCTTCTCAGCTTTAGTGGCACCAGGGATAACTTTGGAACTACTATGAAAGCTGCTGTAAATTACAAACATCTACAAGGGTTCTTTTCCAACTGTTTCTTTTCAGATGATGAGCTTATGGTGAACCCAAAAGTATTTCTTCAGATCAAGTTGGGAGATATAGTGGAAATAGCACACCCCAATGATGAATACAGGTGACTCTCCTTGTCCTTCCCTCCAACCCTTATGCATGGATCTGCCTTGGGACATAGCGCACGATAAAGGGGGCAGGGAGAGGGGGCAGGGCCTGAGCTTTGCAAGTGGGAGATAGAAAGGAGGACTGCCACAGATGGGGGCTGGTGTGCTTGCTCTGAGCCAGAGGAGAGTGGAGGTTGCTGGGAAATCAGGGGAGCCAGCCAGATGGAGAACACCTTGCGACTGCTGGCTTGCTTCGAAAAGGCATATGCTGCCTGCTCCCATTTGGGATTCTTGGTGGCATACAAGACATCAGTGTATAATAATCTGCACATTAACAAACTTGTACAAACCAGGAACATAAAAAGTGAAAAACCCTAAAAAGCTTGAGCGAAACAAACTGTTCCTAAATGGTAACCGGTAGTACTGCTTTGGGAGTTTTGCTTGGCCAGAGGTGTGAAGAACTTAGAATTCTTGAGGAACTTCTTGGCTGAAATGCTTTCCAGCTGTTGGAGAGGTCCTGGCAATGTCACTGATCGTCGCTCTTGCTTTTCAGTCCGCTGCTCCTGCAAGTGAAGTCGCTCAAGGAAGACTTACAGAAAGGTGGGATTCTCTCTCTCTCTCAAAAACGATTAGTGATGCTCTAACAACGTTTCCATTAGTGTAGGTCTGTAGACAAGAGAGAGACTTTTTTATTATATATTCGTTTGGTCTGCTGGAGCTCAAGACAGAGTATATGCCCCTGCCTTTTCACGTTTTTCCACACAGTGATAACCCACCTAGCTTAGGTGGGACTAGCTCAGGCTCACCTATGACCTTCCAAGGCTGCAGGTGGAGGATTGTCCATAAGCGAATATAAGAGCTAGTGTGTGCCATAAACTTAAAGCTGAGATTTGTCCTTAGACAGTTTGCACATGCTCATAAGCCAGTGGGAGCCACTGGAAAGGTTTTCTTAAGAGCACTTGAAAGAAATCTCTTCTCATGAAAGAGCAGAGGCAACCAAGGATATACGGATAGTTCTTGCTGTCTGACCACAATAGGGATTGGAATTTAGGTCGCTAAGCAATTTGGTTGTTAAGCGAATCAGAGCTGATTTTACAACCTTTTTTACGACAGTCATTAAGCAAATCACCATGGTCGTTAAGTGAATCACATTAAGCGAATTCAGCTTTCCCAATGGACATTTTTTGCCAGAATTCACTTAACAACCATGTAATTCACTTAATGACTGCAGTGATTCGCTTAACGACTGTTGTAAAAAAAGGTTGCAAATTTCAATCACCGTGAGGGTCGTAAAGCACTTTTACCAAGGCCGTCATCATTCCAAACTGTCGTTAAAAGAATAGTCGTTAAGTGAGGACTGCCTGTAATTTAGTTCTAGGGATGCAGAGTATAATATTTGTTAAAATCTGATTTGGGGAGGGCTTTGCCTGTCTGAAAGAAATCAGAGTATTTTTTTTCAGTCCTCATGCAGGTGTCATAGTAGGGCCGACAGCAGCTCTGAGCTCCAAGACTGGTCTTCGAGCCCTGGTCAAGCTGCCTGCAGCGAGACTCGAGCCTCTTAGGGGCCAGTCTTGGGAACAGCGTGAAAGGAATACTGCTTGGTTAGACTCCTCGTAATCCAAACCAAATGGGAATTTGCACACTTCTGCATGGAAGAATCTTGAATCTATGATCTCTGCAGAGTTTAGCTGGGACTGACAATCTTCATGTCAGACTTCACTCCCAAGTAGCAGAAAAGCTGGTTGCTTCTGGAGCAGTCTGGAATGCTGTTGTAATTTATGTCATTTTCATCACGGGATGATGAATTCCTGGCTTGTCATCCTCCTTTCAAGCAGAAGCCACTATTTGCTTGAGAGTTACCTTTGTGGATTGGGGATCATACCGGGAATGTTTAGATCCTGTTGGGATGCCCTTGCAAGTTGGCAGCTGGAGAGACTTCACGTCTGGTTTGCTGCCAGCGCTACCAGTCAAAAAGCACCATTGTACCAGTTGCTATATGGCGGCTCCTCGGCATTTACTGTCCTTTTCCGGAGCATATGGGGCACTTCCAAAACACAGCTCTGGATTGGGGCCAGGCATTGTTTCTAATTTCTGAGGAAGCTTATGGGGCCCCTTGGACTTACGGTAATTGAAGCAGGTTACGCTGGAGGCTGTTGCTTTGCTCTGCACTAGGCCAAAAAAGAGAAGGAAGATGGGGAGGGAACGAGGCAAGCTCTGAAGGAGGTATCTGTAGGCGGAGCATCACCCGCTGATGAGGACCCCAGAGAGGCATCAATGTTCTTGTCACTGAGCGTTGCTTTGGACAGTGTTTCATAGTGCTGTCAGTCATACTGGTTGGTGGACTAGCTCTTCATGCCGGCAAAGGCAGGTCAGTTCCACCTTCCTCTGATGTTTCTGCTGGAGTGATTCCAGTGGGAAGCCGCCTCCCAGTTCTCCCATCTTTCTCTCTCTTCCTTGCACAGAAACCATCAGCGTTGATCAGACTGTTGCTCAGGTGTTTCGACTGAGGCCCTACCAGGATGTCCATGTGAATGTTGTTGACCCCAAGGTATTTGTGATTTTGCCGCCCTTCAGCTTTTGCTAAACATGCTTGGATGGTCTTCCTGCATGAACACAGCAGTTCTAAGAATGGTCGAGGCTGGACTGATCCTTTGCTGTAGGTCAAGTGGCCGTGGACATGAGTGCGCTTTCCCAGCCTGGCAGTTGATGCTTTCCCTCCTGCCCATTTCTGATGTGTGTTTTGGTATTTTGTTGTATTGGACAAATATGTTCCCCCCAGTCAACCCCCCTCTGCTTTTTCTTCTGGAGATTGCAAAGAAGTTAATCTGGCTAAATTTTTGAAATTGGCAAAATCTTCTGACACTCAGTAATGGATAAGGAATTGTTGTTAACTGACAAACAATTGGGGGCTGTGGGTATTTATGTCCTGAAATGTTTTTGAAAGGGAAGTTATAGGCAGGTGGCTTCTAGAAAACCTGTGCAACCAGGAGCATCAGCTGCTGGTCTCTGCAGAAACACAGTGGCAGAGGCAGAAATCACCACATTCCTTTTTAGGATGTGACTCTGGATTTAGTGGAGCTGACATTCAAGGACCAGTACATTGGACGCGGAGATATGTGGCGGCTTAAGAAGAGCTTGGTGAGGATGACCATCTGTTGTGAATGTTTTAAACTGGATTTTTGTATGGAGTAAGGGTAGGACTGGGTGACCTAACAGTCCCCTTCCAACTCACAATTGGGGAGTTGAGCATCTGTAGAGAAATTTAGCTCTGGCCTTGAGAAAGAAATGGAAGAAGTAAAACATTTGCTTAGTTCTGGGAAAGTAGAAAATGTGAGAAAGAGAACAGCCCCACCTTGTCCTTAAAAAGGGGGCAGTGAAGGTTTTGGACAGGGTTTCAAGATTTGGTTAATATACCCCACAACCATAATGTAGTATTCTGGGAATCCCTGTGGTGTCTGATCTTTGACTTCGCCTACCTTGAAGGGCCGATGGCATCTGAGCTTGCAGCTCTGTTCAGGAAATAATGAAAGAATTGAAACATGAGGTGGGTGGGTGGGTGGGTGCTGCAGGACTTGGATTTCTGGTAAAGGACGGAGGGTTGGCAGGAAGTCAGAACTGAACTGAGATGGTTGGGATCAAAGGCAGAGAGGCACAAGGCTCCAGTGGAAATGCCTGTCTCAGAAGTCCTGGCTTGTGTCCTTTAGCAAAAATGATCTGAATATTTTCAGACTGATGCATGCCAACTAGAAATTTGCTTGCTTCTTAAATGGTTGTTTATCTTCTGCAAATGCAAATTTTCTTGTGTGCAAATTATTCCATTTCTCTCTTTTTTCTTTCGATGTCACTTAGGTTGGCACATGTGCTTACATCACTCAGAAGGTGGAATATGCAGGAATTCGGTGAGTAAGCAGTTGCACTCCACTCGCCCTCCTTGGCAAACCTCCCTTTCACAGTGTTTAGGGAGGAAGTTGGGCTGTATCAGGAATTAATGCTTATCTCCAGATAATAAAGGAGGACAGATTTTGGCTGCTTCCATTACCAAGGTACTGTTTGTGGTTTGCACCCTTTTCAGTAAAGTTCAGACTCCAAAATCAGCCCCATTTACTTCAATGAAACTTCCTCCCAAATAAGGGCATGAGAGAGTAGCCCTCATGTCAAGTCTTACCAGAGGAGGGGAAGGGGTGGCATCTGGTAAGTTCTCAGTTCTCCCTCTTTGGTCTAGGCTTCAGGTGGAAAAACCTGGAGCCTGTTTTGCCTGGAGGGCTGGGAGCTTCAAACTTTCATTGGACTGCAGAGCCAGCTGATGAAGCTGTTTACCCCACCAACATCCTGGCATGTTGGCACCATAATCACTGAGTAAGCAGGCCAGGATGAATGGCAGCTGAGGATGTCCTTGTGAATGGAAGCTTTTGTCGAATTGTTGAATTTATCTTCTGTTTAAATAAGGAGATCTAAAAGGCACCATGTTGAGATTTTGATAATTAACTTACAAAGTTAAGTCACATATGGGCAAATCAGATTGATTGATTTAAACACTGATTGGCAGTCTGAGGAAAAGACATTTGGACAGTGGTCTTCAGTGGGGTCAAATGGGTCAGGCTGATGAAAGCAACCGTCTCACAATGCAAACTCCGCCCCCTTTGTACACATGTCACAATGTCATGCAAGTGGAAAAGGAGTGGAGCTGGCAGGATGATGGCATTTTTCTCCTTTTGATAAAAGCAGTGGGAGCCTGTGGAAGGCCCTAGATTTGGGACTGTGCTGCAAAGCTGCTCCTGGAGGGAGAGAAAACTCCAATACTTGAATTCCTTTCAAGTTGACCATCACTCTTTGATTTGATTTTTACTACCTTTTGGCCAGTAGTTCTTTAATTTTCACATCCAGCTTTCACAGCAAGGTTTTCTCCATGTTTCAGATCCTTTCTCTTGGTTTGCTTTCAGGGCTCAGGCAGGTGAGCTGTGGGTTAAAAGTGAGAAAGTCACCTGTGGCTACATCAGCGAGGATACTCGGGTAGGACTCTGACTTCGAACATTTCCTTTCCAATTCTCAAACACTGAGCTTCAGAATTCCTGCAATTAACAGCCAGAGCAGCGGCTTCCCAGCTTTCTTCCTGCAGGATACCCCTTGGTTGTCCTGCATGCCTCAGAGGAGGATGCTCTAGGAGCAGGGAAGGTGCTAAGGGCCCTCTCGGTTCCCATGGACTGCTCACAGAGCATGTGGCCATGGCTCAGCCTTGCCAGCAAGTACTTCCGTGATCTCCTGCTGGTAATTCAGGAATCAGCTGGCTGGCTCTCTTTTCTCCCAGACTAACCTTTGTTCTTGGCATTAAGCTCCTTCTGCTCTGGGTCATCAAAGATGGTATGATGGGAAATGATGTAATTTCCCTCTTCCCATCCAAAGGCAGGCTGAGATTTCTGGCCCCTGTGGATAGTCTTTGCTCTGCATTCTGCGAAGAAGGAAGAATTGTTTGCAACCATTTGACAGAGAAGGAATTAGGAAATAGTGCAGCAACGCCAGGGGAGCAAAGTTTGATCTTGCCAAGCAAGAGAATGGTCTAAGCAGGCTCTGACGGAGGTGGCAATATTTCTCCTTTCTCCCCACCTGCCTGGCTGACTCCATTGTCCCACCCTTTCTGGCCAGGCTTTGGGGGCATAATTGGTGTCCCCGTTCAGTGTGCTGCAGATTCACTTTTAAGCCTTCCCTGGGAGTCTCATGCAGCTAAAGGCTAAAGTGCAGGCCAGGGACATCGGGAGACTTGAGCAACAGTAACAGTGGTGGCCTCTTTGGGAGACTTGACCCTTGGCCCTTCATTCACGATGATCAGTGGCAGCTGGATCAGTCTCTGATCTCTCCTTTAAAGGGAGAGAGAGAGAGACTTGAACACACATACTAAACATGGCTGTTTCTGCTCATAGAAAGCTCACCTCTTTCTCCTTTGGGCGCTCTAAGGCGCAAGTTCCAACCTCAGGTGCTTCTGTTTGTTGGATGACAGTACAGGTGGCTGCCTGCAACGGCCCTGCAAGATTGATCTGCGGCCCAAGGCCAGCCTAGCACCTGAGCCCTTTGTGGGTAGGAAGCTTTTTGGGAGGCCATTGACCCGGTGCTGGCCGAGAGCAAGAAGAGTATGAGCGTTTGTGTATGAGAAAGTATCCTCCAGATAGCATGGGGAGCCAGCCGATTCTTTCCAAGCCAGAAAACAGCCTGCCAGTCGTTTTCATTTCAAAAGTGGCAAGGAAGTCAGTGGGGTCAATAGGATGGGCAGGGCAATGACTTCAGCGGTGCCCAAGCAAAAGCATCTGGCTCCAACAGAAGAGAACATGAGATTCACACCAGGGATGACTAGGGGGCCAGTTGCCTACAGCAATTTTGGGGCTACCTGCAGATGGTCTCTTAGGGACAGGTGAGTGATACGGTCTGAAGGTCAGGTGCATTGCAAGAGGCAGGTTTCTATTTCTTTGTCAATATCTGGGAAATTGAAAGTGCTTCAAGGGCAGTTGGAGGCCAGCGATAGAGCCATTTCCTCCGTGCAAGAGGCTTGCTGGCCTGTTCTCAGTGTGGTTCACAGTCCCAAAGAAAATTAGGGCACCCATTTTGTTCCTGAAAATCCCAAATGTGAAAAAAATTTAGAACAAGAATTTTGCCCTCCCAGCTGTGAGTCCTGGTGTTCTTGTATCAGATTCGCCAACTGCAGTCCCACCTGTAGCTTCCAGGTTGCTGAGTCCACCACTCAGCAGGACCAACAGGAAAAGCTTCTGCCAGGTCCAAGCCTGTTATTAGTCCCGTTCAAGTTCATCAGTTCCAGGAGGCAACTCCTTGACCACTGTTTAATCCCCCTGTGGTTCCTGAGACTGGGCAGAGATTCCCATGTGGAATTCCCATGTGGAAGCCAGATGTGATCTTGCTGATTCAAAGAAGACCCTTGAGGGGTCAGCATCAGCCTCTTCCCTTCTGCTGATGCCTGGCGTGCCTTGCAGGTGGTGTTCCGCTCGACTTCTGCCATGGTTTACATCTTCATCCAGATGAGTTGTGAAATGTGGGATTTTGACATCTACGGTAAGGATCCCTAAGCCCTCCCCAAGTCTCCTCTCCCACCTCTGTCTAGTCCTGGGGTTGCCTGGTAGTTAATCTAGCCTTGGCCGAGAACATCCTTTCCCATCTGATGGAGGGAGGGGGCGGGGGGGGAGAAGGACTTTCCCTTTTTTGCAGACTTCAAGAATTGTGAGGAATTGGAAGCATCTATTGACATAGTTTAATTTTTCTACCTGAAGAGGGTTGGGTTTTTTTTTTTTTTTAAAGACAAATTATAAGGCAGTAAAAGTGGTGTAAAGGAATGGAGAGCCAGTTTGGTCTAGTGGTTAAGGCTCCAGGCTCGAAAGCAGGAGTTGGTGATTCTAGTCCTGCCTTAGGCACGAAAGCCGGCTGGGTGACTTTGGGCCAGTCCCTCTCTCTCAGCTCCCGATGGATCAACATTCGGTTGGTCCGAAAAAAGCGAACCCTGCACCTGTGGGAAAACACTAGGAAGAAAAAAAAAGTGGTGTAAAGGAATCATGAAGGAAAGTGGGAAGCTGTTTTCTTAGTGAATTATCTATTAGTGCATTGTCTCCGTCCCTTCCAGAGTTTCAGGCAGATGTTGAGGTCAGTGTTGCCCGCAGATGTCACCCTCTGAATGCATCTGCAAAACAAGCAGGGCCTCTGCCACTGACCTCCAGTGGAACGATTTGGGTTAGCCTCAGTGCTTCAGCTGCAAGAGCCTGAAGTAGCTCCCAGTATAGATGAAAGGATGCAGTAGACCCAGGAGGGCTAGGTGTTGCCAGCAGCAGTAGCCTGCAGCAGCAGAGAGCAGAGTTGGAAGACCCCCAAAGCCAGGCAGAATAACCCTGAGCCTGAAGGGTCAAAGAGAGGAGCCAGCTGGGCGTCCCAAAAGAGGCTAATTCACAGCCAGGCTCTGCCACCAAGGGGGACTTGGTTATTGAGCGAGACAGAAGGACGGAGTCACGTGGAAGGAAGCTGTCCTTCAAACAGTGTGCCTGTGGCCCTATCAGGGCTTGAGAGGAAATCACGCCCAGGACTGAATCACAAGTTGATGCCACTCTCGCTGCACCAGTGTCTCTGCCCCACGCAGTGTCTGGCTGGGTGAAATAGCCCGGCAGCTTTTCAGCGGAGGGGTTGGCAGCCTCCACCAGAGGCAGCATGGCTTCCTCTCTCACATGGGGTTCCTCTTTCTTTTACAGGAGATCTTTACTTTGAGAAGGCTGTGAATGGCTTCCTGGCTGACCTTTTCACCAAGTGGAAGGTAGCTCGGCGGGACAAAAGGGGTGCTTGTAACTGGCATCATGGGGGTCTGCAGCTTAGCAGGGCTTGTGGTCCTTTCTCAAGCCAGCTTTCCTGCACTTGAGTTTAAAAGGCCAGGCCAGGAGGGATCAAGGGATCTGAGGAGCACAGGGGTTGGGGGCCAGGGAGCTGGATTCTGACCTGGCAGCCGTCTGCTCCCTTCAAAGTGGGGAATTAACCAGTGTCCAGGAGAGGCCATGGCTGGGGTGGAGGTGCCTTTCCTGGGCAGAGAAGCAGAGGACCCAAAAGGGGGAGGAGAGGAGATCTGTTCCTGCCTGAAATGATTTGCCTGCACCCTGTCCCTCGACTCCCCCAGCAAAGGAAATGTTCTCTCTGGCTACTTCTGACTTTTTTTCCTTGATGTGGTCAGGAGGAAGACTCTTGTGCTGGTTCTTCCTTTGAGTTTAGGGGGGAGCTACCTCTGCTGCTCTTGGGAAGAGGCCTCCCCAGCCACATTTTATGATGTGGGATCTCTCCCACCCCTTATGTCCTCCCCACTGAGGGCAGGAGCTGAGAAACATCTGGGAGTGTCACAGGTGCAGTCTGTGTGGATGGAGTCCGTGGTGCCTGTCAGGGAGTCGGGTGGGCCCACGGTGCCTTGATTGGCTTGCTTTTGTCCTAGCAGGAGAAGAACTGTAGCCATGAAGTGACAGTGGTTCTCTTTTCTCGAACCTTCTACAATGCCAAGTCACCAAGTGAGTTGCTCCACGTGTGCCTCCCCTGGTCTTGAGACATGCTCACCTCTTTCTCTCCTCCTCCTTGGGAAGCGTAAAGCTGCAGCAAACAGCAGCTTTCTCTTACGTCTGGCTTGGTTTGTTCCAGATGAATTTCCAGAGACGCAGCGTTGCTCAGTTCAGCAGGATCATGAAGGCCGATTCTATGAAGACTTTTACAAGTAGGTTTGCCACGAGGTTGAGCCATCTCTGTGAAATAGTTATCCTACCCCTGAAAGTGGGCAGTGTCTCTTAAGTACGCAGGTAGGTGTGTCAAGGGATCTGTGAGAAATCTGTATGTGGAGAGCCTTATACCTCTCTGGGGAACTGACAATTTGCACTGTTTTGTAAAATAGCTTTATCCACATATATAAAGAAAGAAATGCTGTGGTTCCTCCAAGGTATCCTGGATCTTTTGTAAGGATGCTAAGAACTCTAGATTCTGCAAATGGAGTTATTTTTTATTTATAATATTTATAACCTGCCCCAATCCTAACAAACTCTGGGAGGGGTACATCAAAGTCAGGAGCAAAAGTTAACAATTAAAATAGTATCATTTAAAGACATTAATAAACATAGACATCTTTAAAATTAAGCTAATCAAATCTAAAGGATGAACACACACCCTGGAACAAAACCGCAATCGCTTGTGCACAAAATACCAGCAGGGTTAGGTCCATCTGTATCTCCAGAGGCTTCCGGAGGCTGCCACCAGAAAGGCCAGTTGCCTGCTCATGTACCTTGCGAGAAGAAGGGAATTGCAACAGGGCCTCCCTTGCTTGAACCTAACAGGAGGATTCATTTCTGGCAAGGTGTTGCCTGATATATTTTGGAGCTACACTCTAAAAGGGCTTTAGAGTAATTACCAGCCTTGTGAGTCATGCCTGGAAGCCTACTGGCAACCAATGCAATCCTTATTGGTCTTTGGAATATGGATGTGATGAGGGCATTGAACGGGATTGCCCCTAGGTGGCCTCTCCCTGTTTGCAGATCCAAAGGAGCTCTAGGAGATGATGTGGCAAAGGGATCCCCAGAGCCACAGTGGATGGAGACAAATAGTTCCCATGACCAAACACAGGTGTGAGCCGTGTTTGGATCTGCACTGTGGCTCTAAAGGTGGCAGAGCATCAGACCTCCTCTGCTGCTGTAGCATTGGTGGCATGTCATCCAGCAGCTCTGTTTAAGCAGGGCCATATTCTCGGGGAAGGACAGTTTGGAAAGTCTGCCTTCAGGATGGTGTACAAGACTGGTTGGCTAAACCCATCACTGATAAAATCGGTGTTCTTTCAGATTTTGAATCAAGCTTGGCAGAATGAAAGGTAACAGAGCAACGTCTTGCGAGATGATTTTGAAGCAGGATTCTTTGAAGTTTGTGGACTTCAAAGAAGCGGGCAAGGTTCTCTGTAGCATGAGCTCAGACAGATGTGGGGTGGGTCCTTGTCCCGTCTGGCTCCTCAGGCAGCTAGAGTAAGGGTCAAGGATTTGGGAGATTATAGCTGCCTCTTTAAGAAAGGAGATGGTGCACGCTACTTGAAGAAGCCATTTTCTCAGTCCAAACATGCTAGACAACTTCTGCCTGGTCTACCGCCTTCTCTGTTTAGGGAAGATTTTGGAGAAGGAGGTTGGGCTGCAGTTGCAGAGGGACATGAAGGAAAGAGATCATCAGGAGCCTCTGCAGCCAGGGTTCAGGCCCGGAAGGGAAACCCCACTGGTCACTCTTGTAAGTGATCTCCAAGTGGGAGGGAATGCAGCTCTCCTTGCCCTTTTAGATCTACTTCAACAGAAAGCAAAGCTCGCAGAGATTTATCAAGATTTATTAGGAGAAATAAAATAAGGCTACAGAAGTCTCAGCAACCCAATTTATCTCCCAGACAAACGAGGCAGAGATTTTTTCTATCTTCACTAACTGGGTTAGCTGGCGAAGAGGTTGTGTTCCCAACTGATTAGAGAAGTGTGTCCAGGTGGCCAGGATGTGAATCTCCTCTTGGGCTCTGAACATACATACCATTGTGGTGGCATTTGATACCACCAACCATGGTATCCTTCTGGACCTCCTGCGAGGATTGGGAGTGGAGGAGCTGCTTTACGGCAGGTCTGCTCCTTCCTGAGTGGGCGATTCCAATCAATCCTAGTAGAGGAGGGGTGTTTGAGCCTTTGGCAGTTCTAATATGGGGGGATCTCACAGGGCTCCCGTACTCGCGCTCATTAATTTAACATCTGCATGAAACAGCATCGACCAGCATGCTACTTGTAACGCTCCTTAAAGCTGGAAGCCTTAGCAGCAGTTCGTCAATTTCATTACTTAGAAGTTGGACTACCGCAATGCAATCTACTTGGAGATGGCTAGAAAAATACTAGGACATTTCAAACCAGTGCAGAATACAGCAGCCTGTCCATTGGCAGGTGAGAGCCATTGCAGCAGTGCCACACCGATGTTATCGGCACTGGATTGATTTCCAGTTTATTTCCAGGGTCTGTTCAAGGTACTGTTTTTGCCAGTGAAGCCATACATGGTATAGGACCAGACTACTCATGAGACCGTCTCCTCCAGAGGGAATCTACCTGTCCAATTCATCCATTGAGGGATGCTCTGGGTTTTGGGGACCCAGAAACAGGCCTTTTTCCCTGTGAGGTATTGTGCCCTCCAAAATCCATACCCATACCACTATTTTCCTGCAGAGCAAAAGAGTCCCACCTCTTGAGAGAGCATTTGGGGATAAACAGCTGTTGCATGGGTTGCATTAATGCTCTGATGGGTTTTTATTACTGGTATATTTATATAAGGATATTGTCATTTTGTGAATTTTATTTAGGTGCTAGCTGTTTGGAGTTTTTAAAACAGGGCAAAATATAATGCAAATAGGTAGGCGGATGCCAGCCAGTTTCCTGCCTGCCTGCCTGCCTGGCTGCCACAATAGGACATTTACGAAGAAGGGTGAAAACACCGTAACTGGAAAACTGCTCCTGCTCTGTCCTCATCCTGTGTATTCTTTGTAAAGGTCTTTGTTCTCTTTCTGTGTAACTTACTCACAGTGTTCATTGCAGGGTTGTGGTTCAGAATGAACGACGAGAGGAGTGGACGTCTCTGCTTGTGACCATTAAGAAGCTCTTCATCCAGTACCCTGTTCTGGTGCGCTTAGAGAAGGCAGGTGAGATGCTTGCAGTCATGGCTGTTGCCAGCATTGCATCAAGCATGTCCTTCTGGTTTGGGTGCTCCTCAGTCTCGGTTCCACTCCGTAGCTTGTGCTGCTGCTGGGAAGTTGGTGCACCTCCTCAGACGTGAAGGGTTGTGCAGCAATTATGTCTGGGGGCACCAGGAGTAGTCCAGAGCTACTCAGGCTAACAAGCTGCCAGCTGTCCCTTGCAGTCCAGGCTATATTACTGACCTTGCTTGTCTCCAGGGAAGGAAGGGCCTGTAGTGAAGGTGTTCGGCTCGTGTGAAGTCGTTTGTCTCCTTCCTAGTCAAGTACCTCTTTGCGAGGGTCTTGTGGCCTGTGAGGTGCTACCCATGAAGAGCCTTGTCCAGGGTCTCACTTGGCTCAAGTCCATAAAGACTATTTTCCCCAGACTTCTTAAAACATGCTGGGGTAGTGCTTATATTGTTTACATGCATCATTGTTGAAATTTAAAGCAATGCAGTGGGGTAAAAAAAAGTCTTCAAATAAATAATACAGATTTATCTTCTCATGATATATGAAGACTCCTTTTTTTCTTCCTCCCTCCTTTCTGGATGATGAACAATTAGAGAGTTTTCCACCTGGATACAATTCCACCTCTGCTCAAGGAAATTATTTGGAGGCCATAAACCTCTCCTTTAATGGTGAGTTTGGGAAATTCTTGTCTGCAGCACTGGGATATTCTTGAACCATGAAGGGCCCTGTAACCGCATTACAGGTCAGGCTGGAAGAGGTCAGGCTGGAAAGGCTGGTTTGGGCAAGATATCTCAGCGGCATTCAATATTTCTCTTTTTGGGGAACTCCATATTTATTTTTCTTCAAAGGAAATCTCAGTCTGTTGCAAAGGATTCTGGGGATATTTTTGATGCATGTGCTCATCCGATGGGGGGCCTGGCTAGGCCAGTGGTGTTGCCTTATTGCCTCCCTGAGCTCAGAATGTGGCCTCCTGAATTAGCCCTTTGCAAGCAAAGATCATGAAGTGGTGGCCAGGTGTGTGGGCAAATTTGCTTCTGTTATTAAGGAACACTGAACAAAATGGCTCTCCAGTTCCCAGGAGCTTTTATAACAAATTAACTGCTATCCTATAGTTTAAGTTCTAAATCACAACAGAGGTGGACACTATGCCCCTCTTCTAGGTAAGCCCTGGAGGACTGATTGGAGAAGGCATCAGGATTTTATATAATTGTCTTTTATGGGTAAGGGATATTCTTCATAAAGCTCTGGGTACCCTTTTAATTCTTGCTCTTACTTGTTTAGTGTTTGACAAACACTACATCAATCGAAATTTCGACCGGACAGGGCAGATGTCTGTGGTCATCACGCCAGGGGTGGGAGTCTTTGAAGTGGACCGCCTCCTCATGATCTTGACCAAGCAACGAATGATAGACAATGGTAAAATAATGTTTTTAACAATTGGTTTAAAAAAAAAAAACAATTGGTTATAGTCTTCCCCTTAGTTGTGGGGATTGGGAGATTTATGGTCCAACCAGGTGGGAAGTTTCCCTTCTTCCCACGTTCCTCTCTCCACGCAAGCAATCCTGGGTGTGGAGACAGCCAGCAGGTGTTTCCTCAGGCATGGTTGACTTTCGTTTTGTTTTTCTGACTGCCAACATCAAGGAAGTGCTTTGAAACACCCCGATTCATTCTGATGATTTTTCCAAAGATTTGATGAGCAGAAGATTACATGAGTGAATCTTCTGCTCATCTTGGTTCCATCTAAGGGGCTTTACTCTGAGAGGATCAAATATCATCAGCTTCAGGACAGGCTTTCTGAGGAACAGCCTCATAACCCAGTCTGTGGAGCTGCTCCTCTGCCCCCCCCACAACATGGCTCCTTTCTTAATGAGTTCTGGGCTGTGGGCATTATGGAAAAACTAAACAAGCACTCTGAAGCTGGATTAGACCAAAGGCCCCTCTAAACCAGAAAGCTGTGGAAAGGTCACAGGCTGCATCTGAGGGCAAGGTGGCATTCAAAGGCTGAATATGCCACCTCCTTTGTTGGGATACTATATAGTAGGGATGTGCAGCGCTTCAAGTCTGAAGCCAAAGTGTGCTTGGAAGGGGGGTGGGGCAGATGCCACCTCTGTTGGCACCTCCTTCAAGAAACTGCATCTGGCTAGATGTGTGATCCCAGGAAAATACATATTTGATTAAAGAGGTTGTGACGGGATGTGACAAGGGCCTTCAGGCGTGGGCATGCTGTCGGAGCCTCCAGAATTCAAAGGTGAATGACGTTCCTTGGATCACGTAGCCATTCTGCAGTCCAAGGAAAAGATCCGCCTCTCTAAGGAGGTGCTGGCAGGTGCAGAGTGGATGAAGCACTTTTCTCAGACCTGCACATCCTTAATTCATCATTATTGACTTGCTGACTGTGAGTAGTCAGCAATAGCCTGTTTCCATCTGTGTTGTGAGTCTGGGCTGAGAGGCGGGTCCTTTGGAAAGTCAGAACTTACAGTCAGTAAAATAAAGTGAAATAAAGGCCTTTTTTTGTTTGCTTATGAGACATCTATCAAAGACATGATGATCATCTACTGTCAGCAAAATGGAGGCTTTTCCTTGTGGGTGAAGAATTGTGAAGTTGGATACTCCCTTCCCTCTTCCTAATTGTAACTGATTTCTTTTTTCATGCATGCTTTGAAAGATAGCCCAGATGGCTTTCTCCATTCAAAGCAAGAGTGTTTTTACACATGAGGTGCTAATGTGAATGCTGGTTCCTCTTGACCCCGAGGTCCAGAGTTTTTTCAGGGGTCACAACGTTTTGATGCGATTCAAAGACTTGCTCACAAGCAAAAGCATTTTAAAGTTGAACCCTTTTGGCCCAGTTCTTTAGCACTGGGTAATTCAGCCGACGAAGTTTCTCTTCTCGTCCCACTCCCGCTCCTCACGGCCATCTTGGTGTTGCTTCTCTTTGCAGGGATTGGGGTAGACTTGGTGTGCATGGGAGAGCAGCCCCTCCACGCAGTGCCCCTTTTTAAGGTAAGGCCCTCTTGGCTTGGACCATCTTCAGTTTTCACCCACCCACCCGCCAGCGCAAAGCGTCAGCTGTGGCGTGCTGGCAATTTCGCCAGCGTGGCCACCCTGGGCCACTGCCAGAATAAGGCTTCCAAATTAAAATTTAAAAATGTGCCTGCACAGTTGTGCTTCTACCGTAGCTGACGTTCATGCAAGCAGGGTGGGGTTGCAGACGTTGTCAGTCAACCTTCAGTCCTTCTTTCCTTGGTTTGCTGCTGCTGCTGCTGCTGCTGCTGCTGCTGCTGCTGCGGGTTTTTTCCTTCTTAGCAAAGAAACAGGTCAAGGAGGGAATGGAGACAGAACGCACAAGCCCTTTGGGTTGATGGCCTTGTTGGACACCCTGGCCCTCCACTTGGAGGCATGTGGTGTTTGGGTGAGGGCTCAGTATCAGGGAGGGGAAAGGCAAGATGGGCATGGAGGGAGGAAAGAGGAGCTACAGAGAGGACTTGAGGCCTCAGCGTTTACAGGTACATCTTCCTCACTGGCAGAAGTGTGCTTTCAGTTTGCTTCTGAGCGCTTTCTGTAACACTGAGGGCTACGAACAGCGTTCCTTTAAACCTGGGCAGGCCACCTCCAGCCCTTCTAAATTTGTGGATGTTCGTCTCCTATCAGCCTCAGCTGGCACCAACATGATTGGGACTATTGTAGTTCAACAATATTCAGTCTTCCCAGAGCCACAGATTACTGAGGCTAAGTATCTCTGGATTAATCCCTTGCCTGCAAAGGATCTCGTTTGGTTCTCCAGACACCTCACAGCTTTGTGATTCACGGTTTCTCCTCCTCACCTCTTCCTAGCTACACAATCGCTGCAGTTCTGGAGATTCTCGCTTGGGGGATGACTACAATATACCCCACTGGATCAACCACAGGTACGAAATCCAAGCCGTTGCAGCTGGGCTCTGACAGGAGCAGGTAGTGTCCGCGTGGGACCGTCTCCCCTTTGTAGCTTCGCTTCCAGAAGACAGGCCTGGGGGTCACCCTGACTCTCCAAAGGCCTGCAGCCCCCTCCTGCTACGAGGTTTGCCTCATCACTTTTTTGCTTAAATCGCAGAAAGTGGCTTTTGAGGAGAGGCAAAAGCGATAATACATCTTTTGTTTTGGATTGTTTACTTCTTTCTGAACACATTCTTTTTCTTTTTCCAGAAAAGAGATTGCTTCAGATATTTTCTCTAACCTGTTGTGTTTTTGCCTCATCTTTCTGCTTCCCTCTCTTTTTAGTTTCTATACTTCCAAAAGCCAACTTCAGTGTAACAGTTTCACCCCACGGATCAAGCTGGCAGCCCAGAAAGTAAGTGGACTAGCCTAAAAGTCTAGTGCAGCCGTAGCTGTGCAGCTGCACCAACTCAGTTTTGGAACCACAGGAATAATCACCACGAGGTACTTTACGCACAGACATCAGAATGGTTGAAGGAAAAAAAAACAGGCTTAAGAATTCTCCCTCTAGGGCAGGCCTGCACAATTTGTAGAGGGGGAAAGGTTTTAAGGATTAATACCTTAAAAATAATTGCGGGCCACACATAACTGGTGTGCCCAGCAGCTGTTGGGTGGCTGATGGCCTGGCAGCAGCTATGGAGCTGGCAAGGTCTCCAAGGCCTGGTGTGTTAGAGGCGCTCGCAGTGTGTCTTTTGGGGTAGAAGTGGCTGCGAAAACCTAGGTGGGGGCGGCAGAGCCTTCCCGGCAATAGCGACTTTTGGCAACAATGGATTGGTTATTTCAAAAAATGCCGGCGGGCTGCAGAAGGCTGCTTAGCAGGCCATGTGTTGTACAGGCCTGGTCTTGATTTTGCAAAGACTAATTTCAGTTTTTCTTTTTGCCTGTTGAATTTCAGCCACAGAGTGAAAAAGCAAAAAGTAGCAGGGAATCTTGTGAGTAACTCTCCAACATTACTGTGCTGCTCTTTTTTTTAAAGATGAGAATGACAGTTTTATGTCCCAACGCCCCCACTGTGCTGCTAACCAGATGTTACTGAGACTGGAGGGATTTCCAGTCACTTCTCTTGTCTGAAGCCCCCTCCCGTTCACTGTTTCCTCTTCTCCCACCCCTGCCTTTTCTCTCTGGTCCTCCTTCCGTTTTCCTTCTCCGTCTTTGTCCCTCTCTCCTTCCTGTTTTCCCTCTGCCTCTCTTCTCTCTGTGGAGGAGGAAGCAGGTGGTATTTCCATTTGTGACTGTGTTTATGGCCTTTAAAAAGCATCTAAGCAGACTCAGAAAAATTGGGCACTCGCACAGTGGTGGTTCTGAAGGAAGACAGAAATGTCAAAGATTGGGGCAGGGAGGGCAAGGTAGGCCCCTGCCCACCTCCTAAGCCCCCCTTGGAGCAACCCAAACTCAGCAGCAAATGAAGTCATATCATCGGTGGAGCTGCAGGGCATTGGGGCCAGTGGGCCAGCACAGCCTGGTGGGTACGGGGCAAGAAAGCATCATAGATCTGGCTCAGCTCTCCCAATCGCTGCAGCCAAGGGCCTCAGAGAGAGACTATGTCTGCAGTCTCAGTCCTGCTGAGGCTTTGCCACAGGGTTGTGCCCCATCCAGGATACCCTCACGAGTTCTGCTTATGCAGTGCTGATTTTGTAGGCAAGGAATCCAGCCTGGCAGAGGGTAGCTGGAGAAGGTGGAAGAATCGGATTCTCTGCAAATGTACCCCCTCCTCCCATGTTACACCACACGGCGCCCATGTTTAAGCTGACAAAATGGTTTCTCTGTGTGTGTGCGCGCACGTGTGTGCACGCGTGCCCATAGCCTTGGACCCAGTTCTTAAAAGACTCTCCAGTAACAGCCTGATCTGCTTGTCTTTCAGCTTTGGGAGCTCCTAAAGAGGCAGAGAATGCTCTTCCCATTCAAGTTGACTACGATGGATATGATGCCCAGGTTTTCCGTCTGCCTGGCCCCTCCAGAGCCCCACGTTGCACCACCTTCAGGTCAGCAAGTTTATAGCCAAGCCCAGTTGATTCCAGCGGCGAAAAAAGACAAATAAGAAAATTTTATATTTGGGTACAAGCAATTAAAAATGCAGTGTAAGATAGGAGAGTCCTAGATGGGGGAAGCAGTAATGAGGGAGATGCCTTAGTGGATAACAGAAGCCTGCAACAGTGCTACACTGCTGCTGAGAAACTGTCCCAACAGAAACATCATATCTGGGTCACAGGTTCAGCCCTCTTCCAGGCCCCATTTGGATTCCTGGCTCCAGTTTGAATGCTAAATTGTAAGACAGACGTTGATCAACAGGATGGGTCTGGGGAGGCAGGTTAGAGTGAGAAGACTGGAAGCCAACTCATATGAAGAACAGTGGGGTAGGTTGATCTAGATTAGAAATTATTAAGGGAGAAAGACTGTGGCCCTCAGAAACCGCAAGGCTTGTCCTGCAGAAGAGCAAGAAGGAGGAGAATTCTTCTAAATTTAGGAGAAACATCCTGGCAGTAAAAGTTGTTCAGCTGCGGAGCAGATTTCCTTGAGAGGTGGTAGGCTGTCCTTCACTGGAGATAATTTAAGCGGGGGGTGGACAGTTATCAATTGGGGAATTCAGTAACAGCTTCTTGCATTGGGTAGGCAGCCATCAATCATCTCTAAGGTGAAATCCCTCTTGTGGTTTAATGTGGAACGCCATGCCATTAAAACTGCGGGGGTCTCCTCAGTCCACTACGCAGGCATCCTAACCCTGAGTAAACTCTTCCTTATGGGTTCCGCGGCAGGTCTGTACGAGAGAGAGAGAGCCGGCCCTGGAAGACCTCCAGCTCTTATGATGTCTCGTCCAGCCCCTCCCTGCAGAGTCGGCCCTTGCCCCCCGAAGAGGTCCGGAGCCAGGCTTCAGATGACAGCTCTCTGGGGAGGATCTCCGACATCCTCATGATCCCACGCCCTCACCTGCACCTGCAGTATGAAGTCAGCAGCTCACTGGGCTACACCAGCACCCGAGGTCAGCGCAAGGGCTGGGAAAACCGGAGCTGTGGATCTGTGGTTTTGTGAACCTTTAATAGTTATGAACTCTTAAAAAAAACATACAGAGAACCCCAGTTCCCCAGCCCCTTCCACATCTCATTTCCTCAGTGCAAATTGCAACCTCCTCACGGGCGAGGCAGAATACCCAGGGAAAACATCTGGATTTCTTCCAAGAGTGCCCTGGTTGACCTTTTCCTCTCGTTTCCCTTCGTGCTGTTTGCGTTTCCCCAACGCAGAATTTAGAAATAAATAGAATCCCAGCCCTCTTAAAACTTCTCTTGCGCATCATCCTTGCCATCCTAGAAATGTAACTCAGTCTGAGACACGGTGATTGGTTTGACACAATGCACTAGGCTGAGTGGGCTTGGGCAGCGTGTGGGTCAGGGTGTTGTGGGAACTCAGCCCTCGCTTACATGTTGCGTGAACCGGTCCAACAGGTAATGCCATTGTATGGTTAATCCACTTGTGATGGAATGGAATTAGGAAGGCCAGGCTCAGGGAGATAAGCATTTTCTTAGCTCGCCGGAACCGCGTGGGAGGAACAAAAGGGTGAGACTGGCACCTCCCTGAGGAGTGCA